TGTGTGTGTGTGTGTGTGTGTGTGTGTGTGTGTGTGTGTGTGTGTGTGTGTGTGTGTGTGTGTGTGTGTGTTGTTTGTACCAGCCAATGTTTTCACTTTCATCTGCAGGGATGATTTTACACATGGTTCCAAATGAAGTGTGTGTGCAGTTTATAATTGTTTTGGCATATTTTAAGAATTTGGTCATTATTTTCTAAATGTTCAAGACAATGTGAAATGTTTAGTGTGTTTGGTTTTAGTTAAACTGATTGAGGCCTTTACCCCATTACGGAGCATGTAATAGTCCATGGTCCTCCCAGACTCCAACCAGATGCCTTTTCTGGGGTCTTCATCAGACAGAAACAAGCCATAATCTGAAGCTGGGAGAGGGAAGCAAAACATCAAAATTTTAAACATTTGTTTACATATAAGTTAGTCTTTTCAGCAGCAGAAAATAAAACACATCTTCTGGTTAAAGCACAGAGAAGAACTGAGCATCAGGAGCAGAATGTCATATTAGCAGATACAAATCAATACAAAGACAAAATGAAGTGAAATAAGGGGTGTGGTTTTTAATATTATTATTTTCTCTCTGACTTGATTAACGAGAGCAAAGATTATTCTGTAAGCTCATCTCAAAACACAAACTAATGGATGACTTTAGAGTAGATGTGATTGATCAGCATGACCTGCATCTTATGAGAAGTGAAAAACTTTGAATTATACGGATGTTACAGAAAAAAAATGACTGAGTAATAAAGGGGCCAAAATACAGTATAATTTGTTATCCTGTCACCTATTTTAAATGATACAATTAAGAAAAAAATGATAGAAGACAAAATGCAATCTGAGCTGCCTAAATGATCAAAAAGTGCCAAACACAGTAAAACTAGAACTTTGTTCACACATTTATTGTTTTCTTTCTTAAACTTGTGCAATAAATCATCTACTAGCCTTTTTTTCTTTAGTGAGCAGAAACCTTTATCCTGAAGAGACAATTCTAAATGTCAAACTTTATCCTCAGTCTTTCAGTGCTTCCGTTCTTTTTTGTGTAGTTTATCAGCAACAGACCTCAGTCTGAAACCCACCCTGTCCAGTTTGTGCCTCTGGGACCCTCTCTCTGATTATTCTGCAGGCGTCGTACACGGCTGTGGACGGCTCAAACTGCATGGTCTTCACCACGTTGCATTGACGCACGCAGATTTTGAGCGACAGCACCACCATGTTGACAGGCGGTGTGGGAGGAGGCTGCAGCTACAGCTGAGGGAAACACAAAACAGGCGAGGTTGAGATTAAACACAGCTAAAAGGTTTTGGGAAGTGTAAAACCTGAGACTCACTGATGTGATAAATGAACTAAATATTGCACATGATGAATGTTAATAATTACTCAAATCCCATAAGTCATCACTTTGGTGAATCATCCATCTTCTAATCGGACATGAAAAAGCATCACCTAAAAGTTTTATTATTTGTGCCCACTCAAAGGTGAGCATGATACTATGAAACACGCAAACACTTTGCCCCCCTTTCAATGTCATAAACAATTAAATTTTATGAATATGAAAGTGCTAATTTGCGCACAGTGAGGCCATTGTTATGCTTCGTAAAACAAAGAGCTGACAACAAATTTATCACTTTCTGAAAATGGCCCATCTGGTCCCTGCTGCGGACAAAGAACAAAGTATAAAAATGTTCTGTGCTGAAGAGATTTTAAAAAAAGGGTAACAAAATTACTTTTCATTAATATTTTCACTTAAAATTTATTAAAAACAAACTAAAAAATTCCATCTGTATTACAACAATTATTCTGTTATTTACAGAAGAATGAGACCCTTGTAGATTGGTGCTTAAACGCAGGGAGAGAGGGAAAAGAAAGTGTTTTCTGACATGTGCTAACAGAGCACATCCTGTCTGGGACCAATGGGAACACAGAGCTGCTCTGTGACAGGGAGGTCAGAGGTCAGTCCAGGTCACTGCTGACGTTCAGCCTCTCCGCTGTTCTGCCGTTCTCTCGTGACCCTGACTCCCAGAATCTGGTTCCTATGTGAGATTTGTTCACATGCAGGGGATGGAGGTGCTGGATTGGCACGCAGTGTTCACACTTCGCTGCAGCTTCCTGAAGCAGCCGCTGCTCATGACTCAGGGACAAAGAGGAACGCACAAGTTGGTCCTAAAATCAGAGCTGTGGCAAAAAAATCTAACTTTCTCTTCAAGACTGTAAATTAGTTTGACATCCTTTAATCAAACTTTAGAGTTAAAGGGGGGGAAAGAGGTAGCATGAGGTTTTTAAAGAGGTTTGAGCTCGTGTGGATTTTATCAAGATCTGAAATCCTAATAAGCTTATGATGAATGGGGTTTCTTCACATTCTAGGAAAGGCCAAATGGAGCCAATTTTAAATCATTATGAATAATCGAAGCAGCCGTGGACTTCTCAGAGCAGCTGTCAGGACTAAATATGAACCAGAAAGACTCCAGCGATACCAAAATGATCTCAAATACATTAAAAATCCACAATCAAACGCCTGTGTCATGAGTACTACTCAAGGTAATGTCACTTTTCTATGAACTTCAAACTGTAAAAAGATTTATAATAGGTTGATAATATTCAACATTATGTATTTTAAACATAATTGCTTAGATTTTAACTTTAAAGGGGGAGTAAATGTTATTATGTATTATTTTTCATTTACGTTCGCCTTCGTCTCAGAGATGTAAACAGCATCATTTGAGTTATTGTGAGAGCAAGGTCTCTTATTCAAAGAGGCAATTACCCATGATGCCTAGTGACCCCATTAGTAGGCTCCCTAGCCTGGCCTCCTTCACTTTTCGTTTGAGAGAGGAGAGCGAGAGGTACGTATTGTTGTCACGGCACCACGCAGTGGTGGATTTGATATGTGATTGAGACGCTGTCTCTTTCTTTTACAGTGACGTTTGGTGGCGATTCGTTGATATTGGTGGAGACCTAGTCTCGACATGAGTGATGATGAGTGTGAAGCCGGCCCGTCTTGGACTCGAGCGTACGTGCTTGATCTGTTTGGATCAAATTCGGACAATGGAGGTAGTTTTCGGGGCTTTTCGCCTTTTCGAACTCAGAGTGAGTGTACTCTTGTGTCTGGTCAGATTGACTGACCGAAGCGTCAGGCTTCCAGTGGTCCGCAACCTGTGGCGCAGGCAAAGAAAGCTAAGCTAAGTCTTGGTAAAAGAGGGAGCCGTGTTAGCTCCGAACTACTTCCGGCGACGGCAGCCGGTTTGGCACAACAGTCAAATAAATAGAGTGATGTTGTTAACGAGCAACACAAGGCTGATCTGAATATACAGCGGGCAAAATAAGCATTGAACATGTCACCATTTTTCTCAGTAAATAATTACTAGAGGTGCTAATG